AAAGTTGTAGAGTACATTCAAAATTTGATAATTGAAGGTGATTCTAAAGTAATTCTAAGCTAGTTGAGAAAAGAGGAAAAGAGCCATTAGTGGTTTAGAAATGAGATCAAAAAGTTTATAAGATTGTCAAAAGATAAGCAATTAATAGTTCAGTGGATTCCGAAATTAGCCACAAGCCTAGCAGATCTTTTGGCAAAACAAGGGGCCAGAAGAGAACATATTTTATGTGTATAAATGTAATATCAAAAGAAAACTCTCATGTCTTTGCTCTTTTTACTGTTCTTTTCCTAGTTTGTAGGGGTAGCCGAGGCTGCCCACTACGTAAATTCTTCTTATAAATTAATAAAAAGTTCTCCTGTCTTTTTTGATAAAAATAAATAAATAATATGTTTCCAAAATTTTCTACAATTTTTTATATTTCTATGTCTATTAAAATTATTTTTATATATCACACCTATTCTATTATATTTCTATGACAATTATTTTTGTCACACTTATTTTAATTAATATAGTATTCAATGAAAGAATAGGAGTTAATACCCTAAATAAAAGACTTAATGAGAGATAATTAAATGAGAAATGTACTAGTTCAAATTACATTCTGTGCCTTCACAACAAATGTTAATAGGAATTAATACCTTAAATATTAGATTTAATGAGAGGGATTTGAATGAGGAGAAAAGTGATTATTCAAATTATATTTCTGTCCTTACAATTAAAGAGGGACCACATTCAAAAATTTGGGTATTTTAGTCAAACAAAAAAGTTCCACCTCCCCTGAAGCTTCATTTTAACAAAAAACCTCTCCTGTAGTTTTGAAAAATTCTATAGTTACCTCCTTTCCATCACCGTCCCGGGTAGAAAATGTTGGCCTAAATTAGTTTTTTGCAAATACCCATTTTACCTTACATTTATCAATTAAGATGGAGATTTACTAAAATACTCAAAAAAAAGCTTTGTAAATTTAACTAAAAAAATTCCTAGGCCAAATTATAGAGTAAAGTAATTTAATTTTGTAAGCTCATTATGATTGGATTAAGTTTAAAAGGGAAAATTTGGAATTTTGATTATATTGAAAGGTTTCCTAACAAGTAGTAAGGGTAATGTTATAACTTCAATGTTTTTCTTGATAATGAACCAAGACAATGATGGAAGGGAGGTAATCGTAGGATGTTTCAAAACTATAGAGGAGGTTTTTGTTAAAATGAAACTTTAGGGATGGTTTTTTATGATTATCAAAAACCTCAGGGGAGGCTTTTATATTTTACCCTTATTACAACACTCTTCAATGGAGTTGTTTCATAAAAGTGTTTTTATGTCGACTTCAATTTTTATCGGTTTCAAATTAGACAAGGGCTTGGCCTCATGATCGGATTATTGGGAATTTGGTTTAGGACAGATTCGGACCGATAGGCATATGAACCAATTTATTTTGGATTGGCCCAATTCAATAATTATAACGGATCACTCAAATTCGATTTGATAAGGTTAGGATTGGATTGGATCCAATCAAAAACGGGTCCATCAACACCCCTAACAGCAATCAATGTCTCTCAAGGTGAGTTTCCACAATAATCCACTAGTAAACATTTATGGCAACAGTTTTGTAGGCAGAGTTTCCTTAGCCTATTTTTGGTTTGAAGGAAAAGGTAGGAAAAGGTAAGGAAGCCTTTACAAACCTTGTATAGGTTTCCCTGTCTTTCCCTTCCTTTCCCTACCTTTTTCCTTCAAACCAAACATAGCCTTAAATAATGAAAATCAGCAAAATGGTGCATAATTATTTTTCAAGTTACAAGCTACCTCAAATTTGTGCTATGGGCTGATTTTTCATTCTGAAAAGAATATGGGTTTTGTAACCAAACATTCTAGTGTTATTCATTCTTGCCCATAGTGAACAAGATTTAAAAGAATGAGGCCTAGAGTAATGAACCAAACACAGCCAGCTTGAGAATGAGAATCTCATTCCAATGGTCAAAGAAAACGAAAGAAGGAAAGGCAAGTGACTTAAAAATTCGTAAAAACACTTTCTCTTTATTTGATGCCAACCCTTCTTTGTGCTTATCTTATGTAATCCAATTTCAATTCCCGTCTCAACCAAACAGATGGGGGAATTGGTGATTCCAATTTCGATTTTATTCCACCCACAGACCAAATGGACTATGTAAATGTCATGGAATTGAGTATGAGAAGATATTGTTTTACTAAAACTGGTTTGCTGCTTGTTTGAAACAGATTATGGGTTGATCACTTCATCTTGTTACAACTTTGTGTTTATTTAACCACATTCCTTTAAATTGTTTCGTTTATGAGGGACTTTTGTCTGAAATTTTTGTAATTAACAAGGTAAATTCTATATGTGATTCAATCAAGTCCAATGGATCTCACAAAGGTCAATTCAAATTGGAATATGATAAAGATGTGAGATATTGAAATCTGATTTAATTAGCCATAGGTTTGTAAAATTTAAAAAATTATTAACAAGAAAAAAATAAATAAAACAGTCACAATCTATACACAAAGAGAAACAAAGAAGACAAGCATATCTTTTTTTATAAAGCAACACAAATAATATAAAAAATCGATTTGTAAAAACACAATATATAGGGTGTACTCCAAATTTGATCTGGATTTTAAATGGATCTCATTTTCCAATATAATCCAATTTGAAAATCCAAGAGGGATACCTGACAAAATGGGATCTGGTTTGTATTCATCTGGTCCATTTGTACCACTAATGTGGATGACTTTATTTCACCAAATCCAACCTTGACAACATTTACCCTCTACCAAGAGTAACATGTATGCTCAATAACCACTCGCTAGGCCTAAATTGCAGGGCCTAAACTAGGACGGTAGATCCCATGGATTCAGAACAAATTCATAGTGTTAAATACCAAAAAAAACTAACAAATTCATGGTGTTAAATACCAAAAAAACTAACAAATTCTTGTAAATTAGCAAAAAGAGAAGAGAGAAAGGGAACAATGTTCGGACCTGGTTTTGGAGAAAATGAATTTTGGGAAAAATTGGAGAAAATGGATCAAAGTTTGCGTCAAGACCCCTAAATTCTCTATTCTAATCAATAGGTAATCGACAGGATTTTTTGATAGTTATAAAGGTTTAAGGCAAGGAGACCCTCTTTCTCCCTTGCTTTTCATCTGTGTCATGGAAATTCTAACTCTTTTTAGCAAGAAGTTTGCTGAGAATGGACTTTGGGATGGCTTTGCAATTGCGCCTGGTAAGGAGAAAGTTAATATTCTTCAGTTTGCTGACGACACCTTATGTTTTGTTGATGTTAGCCCAAGTCAATTGGCGGTGGTGTTTGGAATTTTGAGTTGGTTTGAGGTGGTGTCTGTTCTCAAGGTCAACTTGAGCAAGTCTTAGATCATTCTTGTGGGTCATGTTACAAACTTAGAAGATTGTGCAGATGTGATGGCTTGTCAGATTGCCCATCTCCCAGTCAAGTACTCGAGGCTTCCTCTTGGGGCAAAATGTACTTCCTCTGAGACTTGGTTCTAGTTATTGAGAGAATGGAGAGGAAATTGGCATTTTGGAAAGCTAAACATCTTTCTTTAGGGAGTAGAATAACATTGATTAAGAGCACTTTCTCTAATCTTCCTACTTATTTCCTCTCCATCTTCCCTATTCCAATCAAAGTTGCAAATAGATTAGAGCAGATCCAGAGTAACTTTTTATGGAGGGAATGGGAGGAGGAAAAGAAGATTCACATTGTAAGCTGGGACCAAGTGTTTCTTCCTAAGGAAGTTGGTGGGTTGGGAATAAGAAAATTGAAGAAATTCATTTCTGCCCTTCTTTGTAAATGGCTCTGGAGATTTGCTAATGAAAGAAATGCATGGCGGAGAAAGCTTATTGTGGATAAATATGGAGTGGATTGGGGTGATTGGAGATCCAAGTGCCTTATTGCAAAGAGGGATAAGTTCCATATGGACAGGTATCTTGAAGGCCATTCCTTTATTTGAGGAAGGAATCATATATAAGGTGGGAAATGGGGAAAGAATTAAATTTTAGAAAGATTCTTAGTGCTCTAAAGTGTGCTTGAAAGATGCCTACCCTCTCTTGTATCAAATTTCTGTTAATCAGGATTCCTCTGTTGCTCAGATTTTTAATGTTTCTGGTAATTCTATTACTTGGAGTCCGTTTTGTAGGAGTCTCTTTGATTGGGAAGCTGAAGAGTATGTGAATTTGTTGGGTTTGCTTCACAATTAGAGGGTTGACTTGAATAAGGAGGATGCTTGGAGTTGGAAATGGGAAGCTGATGGATTTTTCATTGTCAAGTCTATGTTCCTTAATTTGGTCGGTTCAGGTCATGTGAACTTTTCAGCTAGGCAAATCTGGAACTCAACTAGTCCTTCTAAAGTAAAATTTCTGATTTGGACAATGGTTTTAGATAAGTGTCTGACCAAAGTAAATCTGATGAAACGTAGCATTCAGATTCTGGATATATTTCATGTGGTTTGTGTGCTGGTTCAGCAGAAACTATTGAACATCTTTCTATGCATTGCCCAATTTCAGCTTATATTTGAGGGTATTTTCTTTAGGCCTCAGAAGTCAATTTGATAATGCCAAATTCTGTGAAAAATGATCTGCTGTATCGTTGGAGAATTGAGGGCCTAACACTATTCCAGCAGCTGCTCTTTGGACTGGTGCAGAAAGCTGTGGGCAAATTATTGTCTTGGGTGTCGGCAACGGAGGAATTTAAAACTCATAACATGCGATTGTTTTTTAACTCAGTCTTGGATGAGATTGTAATCTGAGGTGGCTCTAAGCAGACTCTATTGGCCTAGGCTCCTCTGTTTTGTTATTTGATTTAACTTTTCCAAAATAAAACGAAAGGGTTTGATTTTATCTCTGCCAAGAAAAGGGACCAACTAGAACACGCCTACGGCAGAAAAGCCGAAAAAAAAACACCCTAATTATCATTGTCATATAATCAAGGGCTTGATTTATGCTCAAATCAAAAGAAATAACCGAAAAATAAGTGAAAATGCAAAATAAACCATCCTAATTATCATTGCCATATAATCAATCGAATAACTCTTTAAGAAAAATTGGTTCCGTCTGAAAACTTGTTGTAAGCTAACAAAATCAGTCCAACATGAAAAACATAAGAAGGTTTCCCGCCACCAATACGCTCTGGAGCTACATCTTAATGCTGAAATGTTCCCGAACAAAATGATGCACCCTAACATGACTATCTTCACCTCCAACATAGAAACTGCACAACAGAAAACAATTCAGAATGTCAAACGGATTTATGTTCAAAACACAAGCACATTACTTTGCCCTGATGTCCACATATCAGACACTCCAAATGTGCCTTTATTAAATTGAAAGTAAAAATGTGTTCATGTACAACAGTGCAAAGCAAAGAACTAGAAGAATGTGTATAGGAATCATATGGTAATCATAGCATGTTCAAGTAGAAATATCTAGGAAAATGACATTGGCTTATGTTTGCAGATACAAGTACATAACACAGTAGAAAATTTGCAGATAAATACTTATTCAATCATTCTCTTGAATGTACTTGTGAAAGCATTTACCAAGTACTAACACATGTACATCATCATTTATGCATGGGATTAAATTCACTCAAGTGTACCTTGAAAAGAAGAAAGGTAAATTCCCAAGGGAGGTATATTTTGTGCCCCATTTACTGCATTGTATCACAGCTTAAATACACAACATGGGAGAAGGTAATGAATCTAATGATACTAAACAAGAGTTCCAGACTTCCAGTATAAACCATAATTTCCCTTGTAATAGCAAAAAAATTATAAGCAGAAGCAATATAACCAAAAGCAATAAATTTGGGTGAGGAAATCAAAAGCAACAAAACCAATGTAAATCAGAAAATATAAACAAAAATGATAGGAAAAAAATAAATGAAAGAAAATAATCAACTGCACCTCTTTTACATCTTATGGGAAGAAATTTTGGTATTCCCATATCCTCTGACAACAGAACTTTGACCAATCAGAACCCCACCTGGGTAAATTTTGATAAATCACAATTATTTATTTAACACTACTTTTATACCTGTTGACTGGATATCAGTTTTTTAGGTAACATAACTGGATAGGATCACCCTAAAGTAGTCTTCAAAAACATCCAAACTTACAATTCCATGACAACGTTCAAACTCCTCCCATTAAATAGACTGCACAGATGCTTTTAGTTGAAAGGTTTGAAATGGAAAGGAAAAAGCACTCTGACACAATGAATGGAAAAGGAAAATGACATTCTTTGTGCATTAAATGATCAACATAGTCCGCCCATTCATACTGTAGTTGAAAGCCAACACTGTGAAAGTGTAAAACTTTCAAAGTTGAACAACTTCAACAATTCTGGATCTAGGATCTACTGTACACAGGATGCTTTACATACAGTCTGCAAAGGAGAGCAGCTCCAAGCCAGTGCCTCAGCCCTGGCATGTGCCTCAACCATCGTTGATGGCAGGAAAGAGAGATGACTGGTAAAAGGAGAAAGCATAGGAGAAAAATAGACAAAGAGAGAAGAGTAAGAGTGGAAAAATAGGTTGTGTTTCTTCTTTTTTAGATTTTTAGACTAGGAATAACTTGACGGAGAAGTTTATGCTGCCAACTTAAAGTTATAAACTCCAAGCATTTTAATGTCAAACACCTGAAAGTTTAGAATTATGATTTCAAGGATAGCAAATTGCCAGATCCAGCTCCAGCAAGGTGCGACAGCTGGTATTATAAGGAAAAGACAGGTGCAAACAGGACCACTGGTTATATAAGACTGTTGCATTTGCGATAATTATTTACTAATAGCAAGAAACTTCCAATGCACAACAATGGAACAAATTGGTGAAAATTTAATGAAATAATAAATAAAACTAGTAGGAAAAAAGAAGAAAAAGAAGAGAGAGAACAAAAGGGAAAAGGGAATATATACACCATCAGACAATGGAATAAGCATTGCTGGAAATATGAATCTAATCATAATCTAAAATCACATAAAATATAACACAAACATCATAAGCCCCCACTAAAAGAAGATAAAACTAGTACCAAGGACATTGCAAGCAATAAAATGGCAGTTCAATACAAGATCATCAAACCAATAACCCTAATCATAAAGGAACGGCAAGGAAGTTTAGGTGAATAGCCTTGGTACTTGCACAACCAAATACATGAAGCCAACAGTAGAACAACATCAAGTTAATCTAATCAAGAAAATAAGGGCCATAATGTGTAGACAAAAAATATGCATCTTAAAATGCAAAGAAGTGAAGAACAACAGAGCTAAATATGGTCTTAAAACAAACATTCTCCATACAGAATGCAGCAATCCATATTTAATGTTTTTTTGTAACATATCTTGAATTTGGAACGGGCCAAGTATCTTCCATTAAATACCATACCTATTTCACCAATGACACAAAGGTGGAAGATTGGAACTAACGAATTCCATTCCTGTAAAACACCTAGAATGGCCTGAACCTCTAGCATCAGATTAGACACATAGTAGGTACACAATTGCCACAGCACCGAAAGAAAGGCATAAGTAGCAAATTGGCTGACTGAAACAGGATTTTAACACCATTGATCTGACGATTACCCAAAAAATTGTTATAACCTCCCAAAGGTACATCCAATAGGTGAATCACTACGGCCTTGAATACCCCAGGTAAACAAACTCCCATTTCAATATTTGCATCAATCAAGTCAAGTGATTGTTCTGAATAATACATCCTGAACCATTCTATGAACTACATAAGAAATTTCTCCTACTTCCCATTGAGAAACATTCTGTATCAAGTAAATCACCATTCTCCTAGAAACAATCAAAATTCAAATACAAGCATACGCTGCCATAAAGGTATCATAAGTTCATAACATTGTATAAAAACAATACTTCTGCAAGACGAGACCTAATAGAACAAACACTGGTAAATTTTTATACAGTATCCAACATTTAAAATTTACCCAACTAAAGGAGAAGAAAGAAAATCACCATAAATTTAAGTCTACGCAGTAAGGACGACGGCACCACCGGCCTCTTTGATCTTCTTCTCGGCAATCTTAGAGACGAGCTTGGTCTTGACAACGATGGGCTGAGATAGAGGCAAGACACCCTTGCCCAGCACCTTGAAGTAACCAAACTGGGTCACATCGATTTGGGGAACATTGTCCGGAGAGGCTTTATCCTTGACGTCTTGAGGGATCATCGACCAGAGCTTATCGATGTTGACGATGGGGCAATAGAACTTGTTACGGAGCTTGTGGAAGTACCGCATCCCAACCTTCCCGAAATAACCGGGATGGTACTTGTCGAACAGGATCCGGTGATGGTGCATACCTCCGGCGTTACCTCGCCCTCCGGGGTGCTTCCGGTGCTTCCCGATACGCCCATGCCCGGCACTCACATGGCCTCTCTTCTTTCTGTTCTTCTTGAAACGGGTCGTCATCTCTCCCTCTCCCTCTCCCTCCCTTACTCTCTTTCTCCACCCTCCGAAACCCTGACGTCTCTGCAACTGCTTCACCCTTGCTTCTAATAGATAGAGCGGCGGGGTGGAAGGAAAAACTTTCTAGGGTTTTGTATGTGCCCGCATTCACGAAAATTTGACACCGTCAGATAGGAATCGATCTGGAACCCTAGCCATTTTTGTTGTCACGAACTGATTCCCTCCCCAGGCTCCCCCGCTAACCAGACGACCGGGCCTATTGGGAATGTTCAAAACTCAGCCCGGCCCGGCGCAACCCAAGGTTTTCATGGGTTGGGCTTAGATTTTGGGCTTCGAACTACAATTAATTGGACCTGGTAAGAATTCAGATTGGGCTCATGGTCATGGACCTATTTTAAAATCTTATCTAGATTACGCGTTTAATTTGAAATAGATACATTTTTGCATCTATTTGTTTATAACTATCATTTATATTTAATACAAAAGTTATACCTTTTGTCTCATTTACAACAATGTTTTAAGACCCAAACCAAACTAAAATCCGGAATGCTCTGTGTCCTAGTTTTACCGATTAACCAGATAGTTTGTTCAGTCTGGCAAACGGTTCGATCCATGGAAATATTCCCCCCTATTTTTTTGTTTACACCAATGTTTCAAAACGTGTCTCTATAGTATTCGAACTTTCAGAATGTAGTTCAGTTTGGAAGGAGTACAAATACAAATTTATAGAGTGCAAAATATTATATTTTGTATGTATTTGCATTATACATATTTGTATTTATATTCTTTTCAAACTGAGCTAAGCTCACGGTTCATCAGTTATTTGTATCACATAATATGTCTAATATAGGCCCATGCTGTTAAGAGTCCGTCAGTTATCTGTGTCACATAATTGGCATGTGCCTCTTAAAACTTTTAATAGTATGACAACTACCCTTTGAAACTAATCCACTATTCACTCATTGAACAGCGACCACAAATCACTCCTCTCCTGCCACTCTCTCCCCCTCTTTGTGTGTTGTTCTCGACTGCCGCTATAATTCCTAGCAATGGCAATCTCTGCTCCACCTCCCTTTTTTTTAATTTTCATTTCCCACCATTCCCCTTTATCACATATTCAGTTGGAGATGAGTGATTGAACAGGTAGCCCATCATCTTCTCCAACAAAGAATGACGAACCCAACTATATACATCCCATTTTTGTGCTCCTTAGTCTTTTTGTAGCATTTTAGGTTCAAATATGTGTCACCTAACCTCTCAATCAACTCGGGGGTATTTTTAGAATTTTATAAAAGTTGGGGTCTCAAGGATTCAAGACCATAGGTACGTAGAGCCTAAAATCCAAACCCAATGACACCAAGATCACCCGATTATGACACCATTTACCTCTTCATCCCAAGACCCGAAGCCAAAACCGATTTCAATAATCCGATCAGAGTCATTTTGATCCTAAACCTCATTCCACATCAAATTAAAAAATCCAAAATCATAGGTATGTAGAGTCCAAAAATCTAAATCCAACAACACTAAGATCACCCAATTCTGACACCGTTTACCCCTTCATCTTAAGACCCGAAGTCGAATATGATTTCGATCATCTGATTAGAGTCATTTTGATCATGAACCTCATTTCACATCAAATCAGAAATCCAACACCATAGGCACGTAAAGCCCAAAAAATCCAAGTTTGACAACACCAAGATCACCCAAATCCGACACCGCTTACCCCTTCATCTCAAGATCCGAAGTTGAAATTGATTCCGATCGTCCGATCAAGATCATCTCTGATCCTAAATCCTATCCCCCATAAAATCAGAAATCCAACCATGTATATGGATAGAGCTAGAAATTCCGAGTCCAACGGTACCCAGATCATCCAATTCCGACGCCGTTAACCCCTCCATCTTGGGACCTGAAGCTAAACTCGATCTGGGCCCTCCGTTTGGAATCCTCTTCACAACAACTTCAAGCCTAAGGCACCCCAAGACCAAAACTTCCTCTCAGCTTCTAGAAGCATCTTAAAATTCCAAAATTTGACCAGCTAGGAACCTGCACTCAATCAAGCCAATCACCTAAACTTGGAACGTCCAATTTAGGTAAATTGGTGAAATCTTCCACTCTTTGTCTTGATTGATTGAGATGATCTCTCCCAAAGCTATCTTGACAGCCCATTCTCTCAATCAATCTTCCTCCAAAAATCCTTTAAACCTCAGCCATTGATCTTCCTAGTCTCCCAATCTCAGCCCTTCTTTCCCTTCTCGAATCCTCCCAAAAAATCTATAAATACCACCCCTTTCTCACATTCTAGACACACAAACTAGCTTAGGGAGAGAACTCAACTCCCACGGCCATTATCCATATCCCTAAGCCTCCCCACTCACTCTCCAGTGTCCCTAGAATCCCCCATATCAGTTCAAACCCAAAAAACACCCTTGGGTCATGCCTCAATTCAAGAGAAGAAGTATACAACTTTTTTGAAGCAAAGATCATATTGCAGAAAATTACAGTCATCTAGCATGCTTCCCAACACTTGGGCTACAATTCAAACCCAGGAACAAACAATGAATGATCAAGAACACATACTACAAAAATCTCCAAGTAGAAATCATTGAAAATGTCTACGCTGTCATAGAGAATGCACCGATGGAGAGAGAAAGGCAATTTCATCTAGTTAAGTTCTTGAAAAAGGTACACTCGTTAGCACCCCGTCAGCATAATTTCTATTCAACCTTTTCTTTTCTTTGTAAGTAACTGATTATGAATTTTGTTGTTAAAGTTTCAAGTTTCTTCTTTTGATTAGTTTATTAGTTCAATCATCATTCATCTTAAAATTGGCTAGCTTGTGTTAGATTTCATGTTAACGTATATTCTCTTCATTCATTTAGTTTTCTTTTCTTTTCTTTGTTTTGTAGTTCATTGGTATGTTTACTTTTCTTTTACACTTAAGTGGCACCGTATCTAGCTAGATAATCTGCATGCATCATATTTAAACTTATTTAGCTCCGTTGCTCTCCCTCTCCACCTTTTTCTATTAGTATTTGGACATTTCTCTCATCTAGTGTCGTGGTTGCTTGCTTTGTTCTCTTCTTCAGTTTTGTTAAATTACATGGTCGTAGTTTAATGTCCATGATATGACCATGTTACTAGTTGCACATTTAGGTGGTGTTTGATAGCACTTTTCAGACCTCTAAGGTCTGAAAATGTTGCTTTTCATATGCCTATTTCGTTTGGGTTGGGTCTAATTTTCAGATCTGAAACCCAATTTCAGATCTAAATAAAAAAGAGCCTCCTTAGGTGCTTAATGCGCTAAGAGGTATTTCAGATGTGGGCAAAAGACAAAAGAGCCCCCATAAAAATTTTAAAATGACACGTAATGCCCTTCATATAAGCCAAAATTAGGTCATTCAACTCCTCCCCTCATTCGAGAAAGGAGATTTGTCGCTAAGAAGTTCTTCATCTCCTTCGTCCTTCTTCTTCTTCTTCGGCCCTGTTTCACAAGTACTTCTTAGAAGTACTTATTTTAACAACCACTTAAGGTTGTTTGGTAACCCACTTTTCACTTCACTTATTATGCTTTTAAACACTTATTGGGGTGGGGATGTTTGGTAAGCCACTTTCCCCATAAATGCTTATATTGACACAAATGACAATTTTAGCCCTCACTTCACTCATACATATATATAATGCTTTTCGCATGTTATGCTATACATTTTAACTCAGAGTCCATGTGGACCCCACTTCATGACAACTGAGAGCCCATGTGGATTCACACGTGCATAAGTGAGAGTCCACATGGACCCCACTTTCATGCTATACATTATTATTATTGAAGGCTCATGGCCTTCAATATAAACTCCTGGAACTCTTCTTTCCAACTATTTGGCCCATGTTATAAGAGAACTTACACCGTCAAAGACAAAGGCCTCCCTGAACAATTAGACGTCACCGCCTCCAAATCCGATTCGTTATTACTATCCTCCTTCAAGTTACAACTGCATCGCTCACTCCATCAAGCTCTCGTTATTTTGACTTCATTCTTTGTATACAATCCCTTCACCAAGGAAAGGATTGACCTCCCGGACCTGAGTTTCTCTTGGACCACTACCACATTCTCCTCAACCCCAAAATCTGCCGATTGCATATTCTTCTTCATGTTCAATTCTCATGGTCGCAACCAAGTTAGGATCAGGACATGTCATCTTGGCGACAAATAATGGACTGTAAATACCTTTGCTTTTTGTTTTCCATTGTATTTCATCAGGAATGTAGTGTACTCGGAAGGGATTTTCTATTGCGCCAATAGTTCAGGCAAGATTGGGTCATTCAATGTAGCTGAGAGGAGTTGGAGTGTGCTTGCAGTACCGGAAATACAATGTAATCATATCAGCTCGAGTAAGACTTTCATGGTTGAGTCTAATGGAGAGCTGTTACTAGTTTTAGTTAGTAGCCATGGCCATTGGACCAGTATTTACAGGTTCAATTGAAAGCAATAGTGGCAATAAAGAGAAGTGGACAGGCAACAACCACAAAGATGAAGGAGACGATTACTGATGCAGAATGGAAGCAGCAGTTGAGAAGAAGAAATTCAAGGATGATGAGGAAATTGAAGTGGAGAAAGAAGAGAAGAGAGGAGTGAGAAGGCCGTATAATAACAACCGTGTATCAAGTTCTTGTGTTGGCGGAGAGATAGAGACAAGGAGAGAGAGGGAGAGAAAAATGAGAGAATGAGTGTGGGGGTATTTTAGGTATTACAAGAAAATATTAGGGACTAGTTCATCCCATTTTTTTGGAGAAGTACTTCTTTATTGAAAAAAAGCCAACTTGAAGTCACTTTTTTAAATAAGTACTTCATTTAAAAAAAGTACTTCTTACCCTCCTTTTTAACAAACACCCATAAGTACTTAAAAACCACTTAATGTGTGGTCCCATGTCTTAAAAGAAATACTTGTTTAAATAAGTACTTCTTTTAAGTGTTCTCAAACACTATCTTCTTCTTCTTCTTTGTCTTCGTCTTCTTCTATAGATCTGTCCAAAGAGAATGTCTTCAGTTCTTCTTCTTCTTCTTCTTCTTTCCCACCACCGCCGTTGTTGAAAGTGGGGGGCTCTGTAGGTTTTAATGAGAGGTGAATTTGTTGAGGGCGAATTGGCGAAGTCAGATTCCGGCAAGATTGGTTTTGCAAACTGATGGGAAAAGGAAGACAAATCGACTGACATGTGAATAGGTAGATCGAAACAGGGAATCCCTGAATTTTTGTACTTCAAAGGCCCAAAAATTCCACTCATTGAAACACAGGACCATCCCCCTCCCTATACTCCCCTTTTATATAAATATTTGCAGCCATTGAAGGTTATTGAAGGAGTTATCAGAGACTAAAAATTCATCTCATTAAAACACATATTAAAATTAAACAAAATCTGACTTTGACAGATTCACCTCCATCGGAGGACTTTGACAGAACCTCCATCTCAACATTAGTTTTGTTTGCTTGCTTTGTAGTATATATCTTTCCCTCTCTTCTCCCTGTTAAATCTTTCCCCCTTCAAATATGTTTTCGTATTGAGGAGAGAGAAAGTGTGAAGAAAAGACTCATGAAACGAGACCTCTCGTTGTCATTGTGCTGCTCTTCGTCTCCAAATCTTATTCCGATTTGGTCTCTCTCTCTCTCTCTCAATCAATGAAGATAAGTATATAAATCACGTTTTCTTCTCTCATCAACTTTTTTGCTTTATTTATTTAATTTGGTTTTCTTTTCACCTTTGGTTTGCCTGTTGCAGAGATGGTCGGTTGATTGGTCTTGGAGGACTGAATTTTTCAAAGTGGAAGCCCTATTGATTGTTCCTGGTTTGGTAGGGATTGTTGTCAAAGTTTGTGTTTACTCGAATTGGATCGATCTATGAGAGTTTCGATCTTTTTGGCGGCGTCGGTTGATCTCAGAGGACGTAGAGATGTCTTCTCTTAGCAGAGAACTTGTGTTTATGATACTTTAGTTCCTCGAAGAGGAGAAATGCAAGGAAACCATTCACAAGTATGGGAATATATATATCTTCTCTTCTTTTATTTTGGTTGTTTATCTGGTTTTGGAAGCTTGAATTTACTAAAAGATATTAATTTAATAGTTATTAATTTTTTATTGCTCCACGGTCTTTGTTACTATTTTCATTATTGTTTTAACTCTTAATAATTTATTTTTAATTTACAAATTGATATGTATTTTTCAATTTTATTCTCATTTCAATAAATTATTTTTATGAAATAATGTAGATTGAACTCAAAATTACCAAAATTTACTACTTTAGGGGTAAAATAGTAAAATCAATGAATTTCAGATGCTCAGGTTTGATCCAACACAAACAAACTTCTTTATTCAGAGCCTCTAAAAAGTCAAAAAGCAATTATGGTTCTTTTTAGATTTCACACTTTTAATATCTTTTTAACCTTTTAGATTTCAGATTTATTAAACTCCACCTTAGTCATTTCACATGTTTTCCTACCATTCCTTACTAGTCATCTAATTTGCATTAGCTAATCAACTCTTTTTTCTTATTCATTTGTTATTATAGTCTTTGTGACCTATCATTTCTTTAGTTTGTTCATTAATATAGTCCTTTTTTTATCTCTCACTCGTTTTCTTAACTGGTTTTCTCTTTTGGCATGTTATGGTAGAGTAGATCATTTGCATATTTTGAGTCTAACTTAATGGTTTTTTCTAGATCTATTTTAACTTAGCCCATTCATTTGCTTATTTGTATATCTTAGCATGACTCTTTAATTGTAAGTTTACTTTATTACTATTATTTTTTTTATTTGTGCAATTCCAATAATTTCAAAAGCCAAAAAAATTGTTAAACAATCCTTGGAACATTGGTGAAGTAGAGGCTGGTTCAACCGGGAGTGTGTGGGGTGCTTAACACCTACCCACACCGTACATTGGTCCCCGAACCCTAAGAATCTCATCCCCATTGGGCAATGAGTCACCAAGAAAGAAAAATGTTTTTCTTGAAAAATCTCATGTTTTCCTAAATTCCCAATTCCAAAAATTTAGGTGGCGACTCCAAACTCCATATCCAAATCCATCCCCCCCCTCCGGGTTGGGTAGCCACACCAACAACAACGCCACTCAACTTCCCCCATATTTGTGGTGATTTATCACTGTTCTTTTCTGTTCATATCCATACTCATCCTTCTCGTTCCATCGACATTTCTCACCATTACAGGCTTCTTTGGATCTAATGATGCGCGATCCGGTTGCCCCCTCTTGGAAGGCAACTCGGATGTCGGACTAGCTACGTGGCCAGGTCAAACTACAAGGCAAGCGATCAGAGTGTTTCGAGGTGCTTTACCCAATGTGGGCACTCTAATGCTTAAATTAGTGAAGGAGATTTAAGAGAATTGATAGCTTAAGAGTAATAAAGTGTGAGAGCTAAATCACGCATACCTTGTGAGGCTAGAGGCGAAGCCTTTATATAGAAACAAGCTGCCGTGGGCCTCATGATACGTATATGGGATCATCGGCCCGCCTAATCCGGAGTTAGTTTCACACCCAAAGATGGACTCCAAGTAAATTGATAAGACTTATCCAGGTCCGTCCGATTTGAGTGGGATAGAGATAAAATCCGTTGACATGCACTATACTCCCAAGAAGATCGGAAGCAACTGGCTTACTTCTAGAAGGAGACTACATGATACCTCAATAGATCGGTGAGCTACTTGGGCCTTGGTCTTAGTTGAATGATCCGAGGTGCCCGAGGTGATGGGTGAGATATCCGAGATTGCTGAAATGTCACCATGTTACTGCATGGGTCCACATGTCATAGGATCTTCGGTCAATTCCCACATATCCGAGATCTGCTATCTCCCCCGTATGACACGGAAATATCGTAGCAATGAACAGTCTCTATTGGCGTCTGAGCTTTGATCACCGAACACGGAGATTGTAACCTGAGTCTAGATTGTGCTATTCCATCTAGATCTCTATTGGCGTCTGCGGTCCGCCCCAATTGCAAACACCATGGCAGAAAGGTAAGTTGGGTTCTCTGATCAAATCAATATTCTGTACCATCGAAAACTCACTTCCAAAGCATCCCAGTTTTCTTGATTAGATTAAAGCTTGGGCGTCGAAAACTCACTCACTTCCAAAGCATCCCAATTGCAAACACCACGGAGATTGTAACCTGACCTTTCTTTGCTCCACAGAAATCCCGGTGGAGTGGTTCAATCTCAATTGGATTTGGAATAACCAAAACCTCACACCGGAAGACGTTTCGATGGTTGCCATCGGCGTGCATTCAACATACTTTCACTTCCACTCCACAACCTGTGAAGCGGATTCTATGATTTCTGTATTCATTCTTAAGGCCGCAGCAGAAGGGTAATTTTGAATATTTTCAAAAATTAACCAAGACTTATTATACACATTCTGAAAATTCGAATTTTGAAGTACCGGGATTAATTGACTTAAAGACAATCCCTAAAGTTTACGGTATTAGTCAGATTTTTTTTTTTTTAAGTTGTTTTCATGGAATATGCATTTGTCGGTTTTCTTAACCTTGGGCTATTTTTTGGAATCAAACCAGTATTATCAATTTTTGAAAAATTGTAAATCAAAACTGAACCGAAATCAATTGGTTAAATGATTGATCGGTTTCGTTTTTGACTGATTTGGTTCTTTAGTTTTCCAGTCTTTTTATGTTATAAAAAATGTAATAATATAAATAAACACTATAATTATAGTGAAAACCCGTACGGTACACATAATCTATCAAGAGAAAGTGCCAAATTTCATAACTAATAAAGAAATATAATACTGTTTAAAATAATTAAATCTTTATTTTAATAATTTGTTATAAAAATATTTTACTAATTTATTAATTTAGTAAGTTGGATTAATTATATTAATGTTTTTAAGAATTAATTATATAAATTTAGTAATTTATTGTGTACTACTTTGTTGATCTCTTAGCAATACCCCTAATTATATTGGGCTAACTTCCACGAGACAGCATTTTTTCAGTCTAAGGACAAAAAAAGATGTCTATGAAACATTAAATATCACGGCCGTTGGATTAGAAGAATGTGAAAATCAACGGTCCGAACTATGTCGTTATTTCTACTTTAAGTTGGTGCCCCAGTCATCATATCACTATCCTCGTGCAAAATCACTAGATACTAAAATACGAGGTGAGCCACGTTCTCAACTTCCTCACGCGTGACGCAACGGGTCTCATTCCCATTTCTCGGTGCTTTTCTTTCTCTCCTGTTAGTGAACAGAGAGCTCCCTTACATCCAGCGGAAGATTTTTCGATTTCGATTTCTTCCTCTTGGGATTATCCGAGGAGCCCCAGCAAACCAAATGGCGGTTTCAGTATCAACAGCAACTCTCCTTTCACTGCAATTGCAATTGGAGCGCTCCACTGGTTTCGCTTCTCTTAAGTTTTCTGCTTCCACTTCACTTCGATTTCCACTACAGCTTCAGCGCCTCCAAACGGGAAAACCGAAGATTTTCTCTCCTGGGCGTCAATTGCTTCCTCGTGTGAGTGCTTCTTGTTCTCTGTATAGCTTTTTCTATGTTTATGTCTATTTGGGGTTAGCGTTGGTATTTTATTCGTTAAGGTATATATCATTTTTTTTTCTGTTCTGATATAAATTACTGTTAGGAACTGTTTCTATGGTACTGTCTACATGGCTAATTGAATCGTGAATATGAAATTTGGGTTTCTTTCTCCATAAATAGTTCTTAGATTTATAGCATTACTCTATTGGCAAGTTTGACGTTTAAACAAGATGGGTAGTGCCCAATTTGGTTGGTTAATGTTATAAACGTTTCTCTTTCCGGGTAAGAATATTATTTAAGTCATTGACACTGCGGAAATTGGTTGCATAAGTGTTGAATACTAAGCAAGTTTCACATAGGTTGGACATGATAACTGAAGGGTAATTTGTGCTCTGTTGATTGCATAGTTACATTCTTAGTCATCAGAACAAACAGGAACCAGACATAAGACTAGATTTGAAAACCCTAATCCCCGGGCACTTAAATTTTTTGCAAAATATATACTTCTTATAAATTTGACTTGTATGAGCCTTACACATACAGTCAATGAAGAAGTATCTTAGCACACTGCACTGTCAGAACTTAGATGAAATGCGTGATTTAGAGATAGAAAATAATTTTCACCCTACATGGCACTACAAGCATAGGATTTTCTGCTGCACAGGCTTAATCATCTGAATTTTCACAGCTATGCCCTCATTTCTGTTTCTTGTATTGTTTCTTTTTGTGGTCCATGGTATCCAGGTATCTGTGCATGCCTAGCATACCAGTAACAGACCTGATATTACCTGATATGACACCAGATGCTGCATAGAACTTCTGTAGAAAAACTTATATTGTTGACATTTTTAAAGTGTGTAAACGGTGTGTTTTAACAAATTATATCATAAAATATCTACATATGTTAGAAGCTTAATTAAATTTGGCAAAATATAAGTATTGAAAAATGAAAATTGGCTTAAAAAGCTAGATGTAAGAGCATAATATTATCATATTAAATAGGGCACTCGTATCTGCATCTATGTCTTAGTCTTAGATCTTAGGAGATGGCAATTTGCATTTCAGTTCCCCTATGTCTATGTTAGTATTCATCATATTCATATCTGGGCATCATGGTTTGTGGTAACTATTAGGGAGATTGAAGTTCCATTCTTTTCCGTGTGAGTGTGTAGATAATGAGAAAAGTTTATTAGAGTGAAGCAAAGGCTAAAAATATGGAATATCAATGTTTTGGAAACCAAGCGGCACATCAGACTGCAATGCATAGAGGTGCAACTCGGGTTGACCTGAGTTACCATTGTACACTACTTTGGACTCAGGCCTTTGGGCCTGGTCCATTCAAATTTTGACAAAAGCCCAACCCGGGCCTGCCCAAGTTTCACCCCTAGCAATGGGGCCTAGGTTTTTTCTTTTACCAGTTCAACTGGCTATTTAACCTTAGGCTCCATTTGGGAAGAGTGCAAATGTTGGTTCGGTGCACATATGCACTTTGGTTCAGTTTTGTTGGTGTTTGGTAAGAATGCATTTATGTACTGAAAGTGATAGATTTCACAAATTTCAAGGCATGCTTGCATCCAAAATGAGAGCAAAAATTGCATCCAAAAAATGATGGCAAACTTTGCAATCAAATTTGATCGATGTTAAAAAGGTATACTTCAATCTTGGGATTTGTGTTTGCACCCATTACAACTGAAAATCGTTTGGCAAGAAAGTAATTTTATCAATGCAAAACTAAACTAACTTTCCATTTGCATGGACCATAATGCACTCTACATGTTTGTATTTTCACTCTTCCCAAATGGAGCCTTAAGAATCCTAGTTTTCACTGAACTGTGAAGGAGTCTGGTTCAGGTTAAATTGATTGGAAATAACCTGTCCAGCCTGATTTTCAAAACATTGCTGAGTACAAGTCCCCCTAGGAGAGTGGATAGGAGTTCTAAATCTCTACTAGAAGGGGCAGATGAAAGACAACTAATCATTCAATACAAAAAGAAATTCTCAATAACTCCCCAATACCTATCCAAGACTCCAAAGTGTGATGACTCAATACAACTCAGCCCCTCTTCTCCCCTCCCCCCCCACAAAAAAAAAAAAATCTGAACCAAACTTTTGGAGAGTATGTCCACTTCAAGCCCTGAAGCAAAGCTGATGAGGGCGGATTTGGCCCTCCAATGACATTGTGACACATGGCATCCCGAAACAGCTGGATGACACCCAAACACCACCTAGGCGATGATTTGGAGTCCCAGATCGTAGTTCGTCTTCACCCGACCTGGCGACCTGCCTTTACCACTAACCTAGCGACTTCGACCACAACTTAGGTCGGCTAGGAGCACCTCGTCTAGGGTCGACCTGTAGCACATCGTCACTGGCCAATGTGACCTCAACGTGAGGAACAACCTCCCTCGAGGGCTTGTTGACCTGACTGAGGTCTAGGAGGCGACCTGCGAGTTGTGCTCGTTGACAAATTTGGTATGCATACCCCGACACTCCCAAGTTTCTCGGAAGTTGGCCCACGTACCGAGTGTTCCGGAGGATGGCCAACGTGCATGGCGGTTACCTCCAACGATCTCAGACCGGTTAGGCGACCTCCTGGAAATCTCGAATGCGATGTGTGAAGCCCACGCCAAACAAAGCCTATATAAAGGCACCAACCCCAATGACACGAAAAGGTACGTGCGGTTTAGTGCATTCTAGCTCTCCTTGTTCTCAAACTCTCAGCTCGCATATACTATTACTGACTTAAGCATCGGAGCAACCTCGTCGGGTTAGCCACTCCGGGTTCTCTAATACCTCCCTTTCTTTGCAGTTCGAGCGACCTACTTGGCAACAGGCGTCCAAGCTACCCTACAGCTAGGAGCATCCAGATCGTGCACCATCAATTGGCACCGTCTGTGGGAAACACTACAAGAAGCTAAGTTCTCACCTTCTAAAAGGCTAAGTCCTCATCTTCCAGAAAACTAAAGATCTCACCTTTTAGAAATTAAATTTCTCACTTTCTAATTTCCATTTTTATGAACTCAAAGGAACTTTTGAGCAACATCAACACCCAACACGAATACCGATTATTGGGGGGCAAAAACATCTATGATGAACCTAGAGAACTCCCCTGTGACAATCAAACAAGTTCAGGCCGAACCCAGCATCCCCAGTGCCCCAGATAAATACCCCGCTACTACATGCGAACACCCCTCCCCGCAGTAGAGCCATCAGTAGTTCCCGCCGGGATTGAAGCGCGGCAGTTCCATGAGATGAAGCATGAATTTCCAGATGTGAGCGTGGGAGCAACTCGACGTATGCGTGTCGATGCATAATAGGCAACAACAGAACGACCTTAACAATCAGTAGTCTGGTGACAGGCACCTCGGAGTAAGGCTGTCTCCCCAGGTCAAGCCAGTCATGGTTCTCGCAGGAAGTTGATAGCCAACAGACTAAGCAGCTCTACCGACTTTATTTCAGCCCGGATAAGCCTCACCAGTCCTCTTCGCGAGGTCTCCCCTACAGATTGAACCCTTCGTGGCTCCCGCGGGAGTTAGAGGCCTACAAACTATGCGAACACCCTTGCGGGTCGAGCCCTTCAAGGCTCCTGAGCGAGTTGGCGACCTACAGTTAGTAGAACTGCCCCCGAAGGTCGAGTTCCCTGTGGCTTCTCGTAGGAGTGGACGACCAGCGTCATTACAAAGCTGATGCAGCGCAGCCATGGCTCCGAACTTCCGACTCACACTGACAACAACATTATGCCCTCGCAAGGGGGGGCAGAACATGTACGCCGTGGTCTTGCAAGCACTCATCCAGGAAGATAATCCCATGGGATGACGTAGAAGCAACCATATGAGAAGTTACTACAGAATGACCACCCGCTTAGGCGGAAAGGTCAGGCCATACATCGTCAGCTAAATAAGGATAAGGAGAGTGGACCGCGAGTCGCTCTCAGAAGTTAAGGGCTAAAGTGCCGAGTTGATAAAAGACCTCGACACCACATGAGACCTAGTCGCTTCTTCGGCATGGGCAAGACCAAGGATAAGGAGAGAGGACTATAAGTCACTCCATGAGCCTAAGGGCTATGGTTGACAAAAGACCTCGGCACAATACAAGACGCAGTCGCCTCTTCGGCAATGGCAGATAAGTCCTAGTCGCCTCTTCGGCATAGGCATGCTAAGTCCCAATCGCCTCTTCGGCATGGGCAGATAAGTCCTAGTCGCCTCTTCGGCATAGACGTGCTAAGACCTAGTTGCCTCTTCGGCATGGGCAAAATCAAGGATAAGGAGAGTGGACCGCGAGTCGCTCCCAGAGCCTAAGGGCTAAGGTGCCAAGCTGATAAAAGACCTCGGCTTCACATAAGACCCAGTCGCCTCTTTTGCATGGGCAAAATAAAAAGCAGTTCGCATTCAACATGAGAAAGAAAACAAAGGAGAGACTAGATCGCTTTCAACACCATGACAGACACAAACTTAGTCGATCTCTTCACAGTAGACCTCCACCCGGTTTCAGGCTCCACATCGAACTCGTTGGCTACTCTTTTGAGAACCAGCTTGAAGGATGCTGCGTCAAAGTCTACCTAGGTGGAGCGACCTAATAAAGCAGTCACACAGAACCCCCTCTTGATGATGGCATGATAAACTTCGCTCTTGGGGTAATGGTTGGATTGCAGAACCCCTTGACGGTTCCATCCCTAATAAGGTAGATGTCCTTGGGGTACCTGCTCCACCTCTCCTCGAGCGGATGAATTCGCTCTCGTGCCCCGATAATCAAGACGGCGAGGTCCTGCGTAAGGCTGCAAACACTTGGACTCTTCCGACTTGAGAAGCAAATTGGACCAATGCTTACGATTACAAGCTTATCGAATCAGTCATTCCGGGCCAAAAGGAGCGATCTACTCCCTTCGCTGAGCTACTTTTAGCTCGGGAGTGGGGGGCAATTGATGAGAGCGGATTTGGCCCTCCAATGACATTGTGACACATGGCATCTCGAAACAGCTG